CCCCACCTGAGGGCACACAACAACAACACCAACAAACCCAGTAGTTTCCCACAAGTGGGATCTGGTTCTAGACAGACAGATTGCAATTGCTAAAGCCAACTATAAGCAACAACTTTACTTTACAAAGGGGCAAAAGAAAAGTAAGGCAAGGAGAAAGGGGGAGCTTAAGATGCATAAATCGGTTACACACTTAAGGAAAGATAGATTTTATAGCCTATTAGACTACACAAGATATTCGATATACGGTAACAAAAGAGTCACTAGTTATTGGCCTCAAGACAAAGAAGAGCTAACTAGGATTAGAAGGAATGAGAGCAGAATGAGCCTAACCATGTACCTTCAACTCAAAAGGCTCCAGGTACCATTCATTCAGCAGTAACCAGATTGACTTAGGTTTAGTTAACACACTTCAATGGCGTTCCAGAAAAAAAGAGATCTTGCTCCCTTAACCCTGTTAATATTCCCATTTTTTTTCTGAGAAATCAAAGAAATCTGAGGATAGTGATTCAGAGCAGTGAGACCAAAGGACACCATTAAACAGTGATGGCATAGATGCATTGGCCATTCAAGAAATAGCAATTCATGGAAGGTATCATGCCATCACCAGAAAATAGTTTGAGTGAAACAATAGCTACTAAGTGGTAAAAGATCCAAATGGTGCAGGACGATTTCCAATAAAAGGGGAAGACTACACAAGGTGGAGAATGTGGGATCTTAGCAAAATGAGAGTGTCCGGAAGTTTGTGACTACTTGAATGAGATACATCTAAACTATGCTGGATTACATGTGGATTTAGAAAGTCATCTGCTGGAAGTTATTCACAGAAACAGAACATAAGTACATGGAATGGAAGGAGCTGAAAGCATTAGGGGAACTCCAGGCCGTGACCCTCACTCAAAAAAAGATCTATAAGAAATATGATGTTTGTTATTGAGCTTGAGTACTAGAATAGATCGACAGAGGTGTAACAACAAAATTTTAAGCACACCATGACTTGATAAAATGGGTTAACAACGAAGCCAAGTGTATCTTGTATAAGGTTCCTAAAAGATATGGAACTTCATCACTGATATGGAAGTTAACAAAGAAGCCAGATCAAATCAAGAAACCATTCAAACAATTAGAGGAAGAAGCATTTCAGAAAAAGACTTCATTTCATCAACTAAAGAAACGAACATCTCAGTGAAACAATAGACTATGAATGTATCTGTCAAAACTCAAAATAGTTCAACAGTTCTTAACATTTTAGAAACCAGTTCACTTTGAGGTCTATCCATCTGATGTTTCCCACTCCCCATGGATGAGCATACACAACGACAACAACACACAAGTGGGGCCTGGGGAGGGTAGAGCGTACACAGCCTTACCCCACAGCCTTACCCCTACCTTGTGCAGGTTGAGAGGCTGTTTCCAGTAGAGATGAGCACATACACCATCTTCTTCAATTTCACAAGACAAAGGACCAAGAAAACATAACTTCAACACCACAAAGAAATAATTCTTTTTTTCCATTTCCATCACATTAGTCCATTCATTCTAACTGAGAATGTATTCTCCATCCTTCTATCAGATGATTGGTCACAGAAATAGCTCAACAGTTCTAACATTTTAGAAACCACTTCACTTCAGAGTGTCATTTTATAGTAATTTTGGAAGAAATGGACCTCAATAGTGTGGAATGTGATCAGAGGATTCATATAGTTGACTCCACCTAATTTGGAGTTGAGACTTATAAAGTGTCCTCGATTGCACATGAACAGAAATGCCACAGCTATTTATCCATAAAACTTGAGAGATTTTAATTTCTCATAAGATCCTACAGCAAAATGCTGATAACCACATTGTTGAATGCAGCTTCTCTAGCAACACTTTCCTACCATCCCTTCAAAGATCCAAATTTATCAAAAGCTAAAAATACCCAAATTAACTTCACTTACTCCTCCTCTTGCAACAGTATCACATATCAGTCTCACTAAATGACTGTAAACTAAACCAATTCTGAAAGTTCCTAAAAAGCCATTAACTAGTCAGAAAAACAAAAAGAAATTAGCATTTTTCAGCAAATATAAGCTGGGATCTTAATGCAAATAAACAACATACTCATAACATAAGCAAAGACAACAGTATTCTACTATGCATTCATGAGATCCAAGGTTGCATACATTTCATTAACCAAATCTATCAAAAGCCAAAAATAGCCAAATCAACTTAAGCATACTCCTCGTCTACCACAGTATCAGATGTGTAGCTCTTTAAACTTTAGAGAGTCGCAAACTAAAACAATTACTGATTATCAAAACAAAGAAAAAAAGGCTAAAGCTTTCAGCGAAGATAAGCTGGGATCTTGATACGGATAAAGAGCATACTCATAACATAAGCCATCACAACAAACACAACCCCAGCTGAAGCAAACGAAACCTTAACACTCTTATCTCTGTTCTTATCAGTTGCCAAATCCAACATCACAATCCCAACACCACCAAGTACAAACATGAACCCAGAAGACAATCCTTCAATAATATACTGACCATTAACTCGACCGGGTAGAAAAACCACCGGTTTAACAGCACCAGTGAACCGGTCTTGTGTTGATCCAATTCCAGGGGGTTCAACAATGACGTCGTAAACAATGCCGGAGACGACCATGAAGTAGGTTAATAGGATCAGGCTGTAAACTGTCATGGCGGAGGGAAGGGTGACGGTTGGGATTTTTAGGCGGAGCTTTGGTGGGCGGAGGAAGGAGAATGGGAGGATACGGAGGGTGTGGAAAAGTGGGTCGATTGAGTAGTCATTCGATGGATCGGAAAATTGGGTTCCCGCGGTGGTTGGTGAGGAGTGGGTTTCGGATTTTGGTGCCATTCTTGATTTTCCGGCAGCAGTTGACGGTGGAGGAGGGTGGCCGTGGCCCGTGGGTCAAAAGATGGAGCAGATTTGCTGTTTTGGTTGCGTCAATGTATATATTTGGAAGAAAGACAAAAGAAAAAAAATGAGTAAATTACACGAAACACCTCCTAATATGACAAATGTGAATAAATATTTTGTATTTTAAATTAAATACTCACATTCGTCGTGTAAATACTGAACAAATATATTATTGGAGATTTTTCTAACTTTTCTTTTGGTGTCCTTCGGTTCATTTGATTAGAAAATATTGTAAGTCGTTAGTCGAGACAACATATTATTAATGAACACATGCATTAATATGATTATGGTAAAACAGAAAAAGATTTATGCTCTTGAAGATGAGATGATAAATAATGATATGAGAATTGAAGAAAAGAAAAGTTTATTGACTAAATAAAATATAGAAGAGAGTATTTCTTTAGCAAACAATAAGCTCACATCTCATAAAAAACAAGTTAGAATTAAAAAATAATGTAACTAATGTTTTAAAGGATGACGTGAAAGAAGGAGCTACACAGCATTTTCATATGATATACTTAAAAGAAGGAAAATATTCAAATACAAAAGGAAGATGTACAAATTCATATTGAACACATATGGATACCAATTGGAGTATGTGCGAGAGAAACAGAAAACAAAAATAGAAAAGTCAATACTTTGTGGGAGGAAATAAGGAATAGCTGCAATATATATATATATATATATATATATATATATATATATACCATGCTCGAAATGCACCACTAATGCGTCGATATTCAATGCATTATATCTGTAAATTACTATATATATATATATATATATATATATATATATATATATATATATATATATATATATATATATATTGCAACTATATATATATACCATGCTCGAAATGCACCACTAATGGGTCGATATTCAATTCATTATATCTGTAAATTACTATATCCATTTTTCCCATGTAGGTCACTATACCTCTATGTTCTATTTGAATTTATACTATATCATCAGTATATAGGGTGAAAATTCGAACATGTTAGGTGGACCAATGGGGTTGCGACACGTGGAAGTCTTGGCCCAATAGGAGTCAGGCACTCGGGGATATTGCGTCTGGTGGCTTCAAAAATTATTGTCTCCGGTATCTCAAGATAACAGAACCGTCTCAAAATGATCGATGCATCGTTGGCCAGTTAGGCAATGGCACCGGGCCCAATTGATTTTTTTCTTTTGGCCCTGACCCCGGTGCAAGCTGGACCATATTCTCACCGACCCTCTAACACCGGCCATCATCGAGCTCTGTGCAAAGCTAGAGACGCCTTTTCAATAGTCCCCTTTACACTGAGTAGCCTTGTCACAAAAATATCCTTTCTTATTTTGTATGGATAGCTTTTCAGAGAAGCTAAGGGGACATATCATTTTCTCTAAGACCTATCTCTTGGACATTGGATCTATTTGTGGAAGAATACTTGCAAATAATACATAGCTTACTATTGCATTTTATTCATCTCTTGCCTTATTGTCCATTAATATAACTTTTATCTTTGCTTTCATATACCTTGTATCAATCACATTGTAAGATAAAGGGTTTCGATGGATCACGATTTACTTGCGCTTAACCCTTTCTTTTATCAAAATAACTGTTAAAACGGACAAACTATTTTTTCGATAAATAATTTGGCACCAGCTGTGGGGATAGGCAGTTGTGGTATCGTCTTGGTCTTTTTGCTAAATCACCAAAAGTTTACCTACTGTCATACTTTGGCCATATGTAGGACTTAATATGAAAACACACATATAGATGGTTAGGAAGCCATACCAAAGCCTTTGGTGAACTCATCAAGCCTAGAGGTATCTGAGGACCTTCAGGGTTCGCAACACTTCGAAGGACATGAGCAGGAGGACAACCAGTCCTCTTCACACGAAACAAACCAGGTCTGACTTTCAGTTGAAGTTGAAGCTCACAATGATGAAAGTAATGATGACATCAGGTATCAAGGAGAATGGTACGTCCCATGAAGAGGCCATCAATACCATTTTTGGGTAACGGGGTTGTGCCGCAAGAAACGCTCCGGACCCAAAAAGGTGGTAGAAGACATGTTGGCAGCACAAAACACATTTACGAAGCAAATGGAGGATGCCATAGCCTCTTTCACCAACAACACTCGTCCTGAACCCGTCATTCCATTGAGATTGAGACCCTAGCGAATGTTGCAACCGATACGGTAGCAGTGAAGGTTCCTCGTGGATCAGGGGTCGGAATGAGCAGATCCAGAACCACGCAGACATCTGAAGAAATGTATATGGCCTAGCTTCTTAGCTTCGAGCGGGAGATACACGCCGGATGGATCAGATACTTGGGACCCCCCACCCCCCCTCCCCCCGATTGTCAAGGGTGCAGATGCCAAAAAGTATACAAAGCTGCCAGTTAAACCAAGCGTGGCTGCGACGCTTATCCCGAAAAGGTTCAAAATGCTAGATGTGCCGAGATATGATGAGACAACGGATCTGCAAAAGTATATGCCAGCCTAAATGATAGGTTACAAGTACTTTATCATAAGTACTTTGCTTTGTGTTTTGATGATCTAACAAACTTACTATCCAAAACCAGATAAGGAACATGTTACACATTTACAAGACCTTAAGATCACAAGGTTCTAGGTTGGGATTCAGCATGAGACATGATTCAACTCTTCAGAGTGGAAGGAACAGCTGAGGGAACAGGTCCCTACCAGTTCCCTAGGAGACTGTGCAAAGTCAACTCTTCAGTTGAAAAGTTGCTAGCTGCAGACGCTATAGTGCAACAGTCAACTTTCCAAGGAAGACTTTTTACCTACCTTGCTTACATCATTGTAAGTGATGTCACACATGTATATATACAATCAAAGGAGGTAAAATACATTTACTTGAACACTTAGAGATTTCACTCACGTGACCATTCAGCAAGCAAGTTTCAAGCGCTTCAAGAACAAAGAACAAAGCAACTACGGACCCGTTCCCACATCGAGTCATTGTATGTCCTTAGTTGAGTTGTAACTTTGTAATAGTTCTTCAATTGTAATTCCTATCTAGCTTGTTTAGAAGCATTCTATAGGAACCCCTTTGTAAACCTTAAACCAGTGTGTTTGAGTCTTGGCTAGAGTTAGTCATGTTGTAAAGTCTTTGTAATAGAGTTATTACAAAGTGGCTTGTAATAGGTGTGTTACAAGTTAGTAAGGGATTAAGAGGTTAATTCCTAGGTTACATAGGTTGTAATCTAAAAGTTGCTCAGTAGTGAAGTTGAAATCCTACAAGGGTAGGTCGTGGTTTTTAATCCCGTTGAGCTGGGAATTTTTCACGTAAAATTCTTCTTGCCATTTAATTACTGTTGTGTGTGTGTGTGTACCGATGGAATCTGATAGAGATCCTGGTTCTCTACAGAGTTTGGTGGACCCTTATATTCTATCAATTGGTATTAGAGCGGGTTCTTTCTATTAGGTTAACACCTAGAAAAGATCCCCATGGCTGCTCTTCCAAACTTCGAAGAAGGCCAGTCTACTTACAGACCACCTAGGTTCAATGGACAGTAATGTGGATGGTGGAAAACTAGAATGCATGACTTCATCATGGCTGAAGACTCTGAGCTATGGGATGTCATATGTGATGGACCCTCTGTTCCTACCAAAAACCTTGGCGACCCACCAGTAGCCATTCCCAAGACAAGGAAAGAATTCAATGATGCAGATAGAAAGGCCATAGAGAAGAACTTTCGTGCTAAGAAAATTCTGGTGTGTGGTATTGGTCCTGATGAACACAACAGGATATTAGCATGTCAGCCAGCCAAAGAAATCTGGGAAGCCCTTTAGACAGCTCACGAAGGAACAACACAGGTCAATCAATCAAAAATCGACATGCTCACAACTGAATATGAGCTCTTCAGGATGCAAGACGATGAATCTGTCCAAGAAATACATACCCCTTTCACCTCCATCATTGATGAGTTTCACTCCCTTGGCGAAACTATTCCAAGAAATAAGCTAGTTAGAAAAATCCTAAGTGTGCTACCCAGTTCTTGGGAAAGCAAAGTGAACGCCATTACAGAGGCGAAGGACTTGCAGGAGCTAACTATTGATGAGCTTGTTAGAAATCCAATAACATACGAAATAAAGAAGAAGAAGAAGAAGGACACTAAAAGAAGAGAGCCCAAGAAGGAAAAGAACCTGGTCCTCAAAACGGAAAACAATGACTCAAGTGGTGATGATGGTGATATGGCATACCTAACAAGAAGATTCCAGAAGATGGTTCATAGGAATGGAGGCATCCCAAAAAAGGGAAGTTCTAGCAAGCCAAAAAATTATGACCTCTGTCATAAATGTGGCAAGCCAGAACATTTCATCAAGGATTGCCCTCTCCTAAAGCAGGATCAGTACAAGAACAACTCTGACAAAGCAGCCAAAAGGAACCTGGTTCCTGACAGACATTTCAATAGAAAAAAACGCCGATGACAATGTCGTGAGACAAGCTCTTGTTGTACGGGGAGATTCATCAAGCGAATTTGGAGAAGATGATGAACCAGGTAACAGCTCTGTGATGGCAGTAGAAAGTGAAGCAACCAAGTACGATTCAATTTTTGCTTTGATGGCTCAGTCTGATGATGAAGATGACGATGAGGAGGTAAATTTTCTGGATTTTCAGAGAAATCTGAAATCTTATTATCCTAAGAAACTCATGTCTTTAGCAAATGTGCTAATCGACGCTTATCATAGTCTTATAAATGACGGGGATGTCTTAATAGTTGAGCTAGGAGAAGCAGAACAGTCTAGAGATGACCTAGTAATAGTTGTAGTTGATTTAAGAGAGTCAATTGAGAACCTGGAGAAAGAAAGAAATGCCTTAGAAAAAAGGATTAAAATGTAGAACAAGAAAGAGATGACCTTCTAGTGGTAGTAATGGATTTGAAGGAAACCATTGGGAAACCTAAAATGGAAAGTAGGGCTGAAAACTATCAAAAAGGAAAGGAAGTCGCAAGTGAGGCACACATTAAGCTTGAAAGTAAGTTAAATTCAGTGAAGTTTAGTCTGTGTGCTGAGCTTGAGAAAAACAAACAACTTCAGAAAGAATTAGGAAGAGTGAAGAGTGATATTGAAAAATCACTCAAGTG